AAAAGGCGACAAATGGAAAACACTCGGAGTATATTCTCAAGGAAACATTACCAACACAAGTTAAAACAAAGACAAGGAAACATAAATGCAAATAGATTCAAATAAATACTAGGATTCACTAGTGCGCGAAACTGTTTCGGCAGCTAACTCCTTCACTCTTCTTTGATATTCTTTCTGGATCACGGTATCCACTGTTTCTTTTTTCTTGAAGCTCTCAGACTCAAGGTGAGTGTAGATTCGTCGAAGCTCCGGAATGCTTTCTGCATGTTGTAGCCAGGCAACCTGGCGATACCGTCGGAACAAGGGCTCGGTTTGTATGTTGCATTGATATGACTGGCATAGATCCCCGACCTGTGAACGATTGAGATACGGGAAGAACGAAAGCCCCGTCACATGTTCAAGTTTTTCCATAGGTACCTGATACCACCATAGTGGCAGCTCCTCAATGATGGGTTTGTTGGGCAAAACAAAAGCCGCACTCTCATAGCGAACACCACCATCTTCTTTATACGTCTTCGCGAGTAAAACCTTGTATAGATGTGTAGGTACCGCGACCATTTGATTGCCCTTACCAGTCAACTCGTATTGAACGATTTGTTTGCATACTCGGGATGTGGATGAATGATCACATGGCGCTAGCATCACTGCACCGCCACGACAGCGTTCTATGCTGACGTGCGTCGGTAGAAACACTGGCCCACTTACCACATACAGCTTCCCATTTTTCTTTTCCACACCACCACTGGGTGTAATACTGCTTCTGTGGGGCTCTTCACTGGAGCATATCTCGCGGATTAGTTTCCGAGTGAGGTTTTCTAGTCGCAACCAGTCCACCACATTCAATGTCCTGTCCTGTGGCACAATGTTTGCATTCATGTTAAATGTAGCATCTAGTTCGTCCTGAGACGTTTTGTGAAGCTGTGCGGCCGCAAGATGCCCGCGACTGAGGCCGGGTGTCGTGTAATCGGAGGGCCGAACACGGAACGCACTCGGCACCGTTGTGTCAGGGTAGAAGGCACTCCGGCTGCGCGATGCAGCACAATCTTGCTCTTTGTCTTTTACATATTTGTTGCTTTTATGCTTTACACTCTGATCACTGCGGAATACTTTCCCGTAAGGCGTGGGGAGGTGATGATAGTCTAGCACTTCAAGTACCCAGTTAGGTATTCTTCGCTCATAGTTAAGACTCGCCAAGTAGCTACCGTAGCAGCGCACATCACCGTTAGAAGGCAGACCAAAAGTGCCGGCATCCTTACACTGTTCCAGAAATAACTTAGCAACGTTTTTACTTCTCTCAGAGGGGACACTTGGCGGGAGCACAACGGAAAATGGAAGAATACTTTCCGATAATGACTCATTGCTGATTTTCTTACACTGTGAGCGCTTCTCAGGAATAAATGGTGTAGAGCCAACCAAGGATGGTGCTTTATGGTTATTACAAAGCAAATAGCAGGTGGTGCCAACGCAGGTGGCTACTGCAAGCCTAAGGACTCTCTTAATGATGCTCAGTTTTTCCTTTTTACTAATAATGATATTTATAAAATTATTGTTCCTTTTTATGAGAACATGTTATGTTTATCATTAATGAAGAAAGTTTTCTTTGATTATTATGCATCACGAAGTATGAGGTAATGTCATGTAAGCAAATTGCCATCAAGAAACAGAGTTAATGTATGTCATTATGCGATATGAAGGCTTAATATCATTTTTTTTAAAAATGAAACATCTTCTCTGTACGTGTAATTTATACATCAATTGAAAATAAAATATCAAGGAAAAAGAAGCTGACCCCTGTTTCTCACTCCACCCCTTCGTAAGTGTGCTTAGCTAGCTTACTTCGGACACATGTATGATCTGCTGCTGCACAGAGAGTATATCTAATAAAATGAAAAGTCAATGATCATATTCTATTTTCTGTTGGAGAATGTATAATCAGAAGGTTTGCACCACATTTTCATTCATATTATGCTTTAGCTACGCTAATGAGGTCCTAATCTTCATATACCCATCTATTTTCCCACGTTACCCTTAAATGGATATCATACATTACGCTTTACATTTTCTCTTGATTTCACTTCACATTGTTTTCACCACTTTTTTCACCTTCTCGGACGACTTTTAGCGCAGTTCTTCGATAAAGACTTTTTTGTTCAGAACATTTGAGGTCTTAGGCACCAACACCGTGGCCAGACGCCTGCGCTTTGAGACTAGCACCACCACAAGGATTATTATTATGGCGACAAAAACGGCCACCCCCACTGCAATTCCTACAATGCATCCCGTGCCACACTGACTGTGTTGCTTGACAATAGTCGTATTGTCGATCCAAAACCTTAGTTCATCCCAATTGGTTTCATCGAGACACTTGATAATGCTGAAACTATAAGAACGAGATTCTGGAATAAAGGTTTCGAATTCATTGATACCAGAAGGATAATCGACCTTAGGAACAAGAGTGCGGTTTGAAATGCTAACTCTCGGCACGCAGGAAAATTGCGGCGAGCTGAAGGAAGGGGCATTGCCATTGACGCGGGTGGTTTGGGATTCACATTGACGCAATCGAGCCTCGGTGATGTTCAGAATCTTCAGACGTGCTTGCTGTTCCAGATACGGTGAGAGCTTTTCGAAGTTGTAGATTTCCATCGGAAGCTTCACAGTATACTTGTGGTCCGAGGGGTAGGTGTCTTGCATGACTTTCAATAGAAGTTCGGGAAACTGTGCATTGGAAAAGAGATCCCGAGTCGTTTGATTTTCAAAAGAAGCTGGCATTAAAAGTTTTACAAAGGTGATATTTCTAGTATCATTCATAGGAACTGTCTGAAATAGATCAGCATAGATGAGATTATACTTCAAGAGCTTCCTAGTATGATTGGTGATGGCATGCTCGATAGTGTCCATGATGGAAGTGTTGCACACTGGGAGAAGGGTAACATCACAGTAAACCACCTGATCAGTATTATTATAGTAAGCATCAAGTGCACTTATCAGCTCTGGGAAGGACATTTTTCGTATTTCAGATTCAGTCCTTTCGTCATCAAATTCGCGCTGTTTAATAATCAAGTTTAGCTTAGTTGTCCAATTGTTTAAGACGTTACAATCGGTGCGGTTCACGTGAGTGCCAGAGGTTTTGAGTTTGCTATTGAGGGAGTTATCCAATAAATCGTATAGTTTGTTGAGGTCCGCTTCGGCGCCTGTCATGTTAATTGGGAAAGGTTTCCCTTCAAAGATAATCTCGACAACCTTTGGTGGAAGCACCACAGCGCGTACGATATTGACTGAAGAAAAGGACAGATATATTTCATCTGGGCTTTTGGCATACAAATGATCGATGAGACAAAATGTTGGTTTGACGCCATCCTTGTTGTCAGTAACGACGCACGATTCATCTTCTTTACCTGCAAAGAGGTCAAAATGCATGCGTTTTTCCAAGGGGGCGACACTCATGTTGTGCACAGCTGACGACGTGGCGACCCACAATGTGTTTGAGTACGGATCATGGGCCACGCCACGTATGGGAAGTTCAGTGTTTGAATTAAGTAATTTGCCTTCATTATCATACCAATTCAGCCCTTTATTGAAGGAAACAAAGATACCATCATTGGTGACTGCGATGCTTCGTCCTGAAGGACGGTCTAGAGGTAAGCCTTCGAGGCCGAGTTTAGTGCAGTCTCCAGGAGGCAGTTTCTCGGAGCGGATATCACATCGAAACATCCAATTTTTGGTCAACTCAATTACAAACAAATTGGAACCATATATAGCAATTCCTTCCAGACTGATCGCGCCTTCCAATAGTTTCGAGTACACGACGTCATTGTCTACCCATCGAACATATTGGTCACCGGTTACATAATATGTGGTCTTTTTTTCGGGTGATGTGGAGTGGATGAGGCGGGTGCAGCCTTTTGGATTTGAGAGGTACACCTCACTGATGGGCCCATCGTTGTTTTCGGTGCCTGGCGCGGGGTCCTTACCGAACCAAGTTCCCAAATAGTTAGTATGATTAAGCACTCGAAATCTATTCACTGTTGCGATTATCAGCATGTCCTCAGTTGTAGAATTACTGAATAAACACATTCCACGTGGGTTCGCGACAGTGCTCGAGCCAGGGAAGCCATCATTATCACTAATTACCTCAGCCATACCGGCTACTATCAAGGATTCTGGATTCAGAGCAATCTTGGCGTCGGTTTGAACGGATGAAATGAAAAGAAGAGCTGCCACGATCAGGATGCCGCATGCATAAAATTTTAAATTTACCATCTTTTGAGCCTATAGCTATCACCAGTACATGCATGAGAAAATGGTGCGCCCTACGAAAAGTTGAAAGCTGATAAAGTAGAGCTTGTAGTCAATCCAAAATGTTTTCCTCTATGCTTGAGTGAGGACAAAATTGTTGTTATTTGCATTTTTAAAAAGTTATATAACGCTCTAGCACCTCACTTTTTTTTCTCCTATTTAGCACCACACGTTTGTATTTTCACATGCATACTTCTTTTAATCTGAAAAAGTAGATATACACGTTACATAGAGTTTACATTTATTTTAAGGCAAATCAAATACATTACATAATATGCAAGTAAAAATCAGTAAGGGGGATGCGCAATTCAGGAGAAAAGCACCAGCATATTTTTTCTGATTACCTGCTCTTATCAGAAACCGAATTGTTTTTATCGTTTTCTGAATTAATCTCACAGAAGGGGGTGATGAATTCCAAAGGATTTGCAACACACCTAGTATAAAAATGCGCACAGAAATAAAAAATCAAGCACCCACTTCTATCCAGAAGAAAATACTTGGTAACTTCATCACCTCTTTACATCACGCTGGGCAGTACATGGAAATTAGGAAAGCTGTAGGTAATAAATAAGTATACATGCTTAAATAGAAAGTGATTTGTAAAGGTAAGGACGTCATTTTGTATTGTCCCATACCTCATTTTATTTCCCCACACATTTCTCACAATCTAATTTGGTTGTCTAATCTTTTGCACCATGGGAAACATGGCACAGCTGAAGGCAGCGGAGGAGGGTGGCAAAGGGGGGTGCTGACAGCTGAACACATGCACCATTTTCGATTTGTATCGTTTAAAGACCTGCGTTTGAAGTATTACAATCTTTGTCATCCTTCTTTTGACGCCTTGACTTTGATCCCATGCGCACACATAAGTGCTTTCGACAATAGCGTAATAAAGGGTGCGTTCCGTTATTCATTAATGGCATTTGGGCTCTTAAATGCTGAAACTCATTTTTTAAACCTTTTAAATGATCGGAATCATCATCAAGGCTGTAAGTACATTGCTGGGACTCAGAATCATGAGTATGAAAAGAACCACAGCGCCGGTCCCCATGGCGACTGACGAGGCAATCATTCCTTTGCGCACTCCATCACATGAGAAACTTTTGGATCTTACACACAGTTTTTCACTAAAGGAGATTGTCTTACATTGATTACCACAATCTATGAAGCAAAAAGGCACCTTCCCCCCCTTCTGACCATCAAGAAAATTTTTAGTGTAGTTCCAATTTGAATTTGTCAACGCATCCTGCGTAAGTTCCGGTGACATGGCTGGTGGACCCCAAAAGTTAAGAAAAGTGATCGTACCATCTTTGCTTTTACTGGCGGTAATAATTCCACACAATCTCGACACGTTAAACGAACCAGGAAACAACATTCTGTTGTCATCGAGAGGCTCAAACTGTGTGAGATAGTCATTAGTCTTGTAGGCGATCGCGACGTCCACACGAACCCAGTTGAAGAACTGCGACATGAGACACTTATCGTTCACAGGTAGGGCGTCGCTTGGAAATGCCGCAATGGCGTGCTTGCGTTTGTTGTGACCGCTGCCGCTACTACTCCCGCTGCCGCTGTCAGGATCCAGAGGTTCTGTCGAAACCAAATATAGCGATGTTATCGTCAACACCCACCAACTTGTATCGTCACGCGTTACAACATTGCAAATTTTTTTGAATTTTTCTGGCCATTTGAATTTTAGTTTCGGACACCACGTTTCTACTTCTTTTGGGGAAACTTTCGTACTGATAGAATATACCCCAGTCACGTTGCCTGAAATTCCGTAATACAGCAGCTCACTTTCGTCACTTGTTAAAGCAAGAGAACCTTTGTAACCTAAACAGTGGGGCTGGCCAATATCCCATCTAGTATTATCCATCAAACTTATAGCTTTAAGCACATTAGGTTTGCCTTTCACAGTGTAGTAAAGTAGTTGATTGTCTTTCGTTACGGACAGCTGGACCGCCTCAATATTCTCCGCGAGTAATAATGGAGCCGAGACGGTGGGGTAAAGAATCGCTGAAAGAATACGTTTGTTGCCATAATCTGATATAATTATACTCGAGGAGTCACTTGAGTAGATATATGGAGAGACACTTATTGGGTAGCTGATGTTTTTGTTAATGCATTTTGTCATACGATCAAACAATGTTTGCACTACACCCTCTGATGAAATAGAACGTATTGCATTGTTCCATGTATCAGCGATATAGATTGTATCACCATTGACACTGAGGCCGTTGAAGGTATTCGAGCCATAACCCTGACCTCTAAAACGTGCAATACCAGGTGGCCCATCCACAAAGCCTTCGTTCTCCAGTGAACCAGTGAGAGTGAATATACCACTTCGATTGATTATGCGAATCGCTGACCCAGGCCCACACATGTCACAGAAGACAATACTTTCCTTACCATATTTTGCGGCAGAGAGGGAAGGAAAACACATTACACCAACATGAGAGGGACCATCTACGACATTATCGTAAACGCCACTAATGAAGATGGGGTAGAAATACACACCATCAATGATTTCCGGGTCGTCAAAATCACTAGCAAGACATAAGTGACAGTGGACAATGCTAAAAATTAGTATTACTAAAATAAAAGAGCACCATAGACGACTAGCCCGTGACATCTTCCCACCTTAATGGAAAATGGCTTTTTTTGTTGCGTACTGTTTGAATGCTAAATCACAAATGTTGATTTCTTTGGTTAAGCTATGCAAATATTATTCCTCTTTAAAAGCTATTTTTATTTTAATAAAGCACTCAAAAGAAAAAGCAAAGCAATGTAGTTTAATGCAAGTGTAAGCAGAACCACAAGTAGAAAAGCATATCGAGCAGCGGGCTTTAAACCCTCACGTTTCATATCAGAAACAATAGGAGCCCCAGATCAACGGAAAGAAACATCCACCAATGGCCTAATAGTGCCGTATTACAGGCACATATTCCACCTAATAGAAATCGTTTTATATAAATTTACAATTATTTCTTTCTCCTTGTAATACCATCTCGAGGAGTAGATGCTCTATACTGCACTTATGGATCACCTTCCACACGACGGCTTTGCGCAAACGCTCCATTCTTATCCACATGGAGAAATTCACAATAGGGCCCCCGGCGGCAGCCCTCGCGTGTATTGAAGTACATACACAACCTCCTGCCGTTATACGTATCTTGGTGCTGGGCATTGCGGCGAAGCTGTGTAATTCGGTAATCATCCAAGACTTTAGTGAAGTCATTTGCCTTGATCGCTTCTTCATCATTTGTATCACGTTTCCCATCCTTTGCAGTGACTACTAGCCTGTTTGGCATTGCTGAGGTACTTGCCCTTGTGAATACCGATAAACTGGGTGGTGACGACGACGCCGCCGCTACACCTTGTAGACTTCCACCACTGCTCTGACTAGCGTTGTAATGATAGCCTTGCATCGTAAGCAACTCCATCGAGCTGGGTATTTCGCAGTGAATGCCATAATGACCGTTACAGACACGATAAAATTCCATCAGTGTCTGCTGCACGACGTATGGTGGTGGACGCAAGGTGTAGTCATTGGACTGCGTGACACGGGCAATGATATCGGGGTAGAGCGGTGTGTACGGTCTCGGCTGAACATGGCGCATTTGACACAGCTTGCTAGGTGCAGCGCGTTCTACGATGTAGTTATATAAATGCGAAGAGCACCCGGACCCTCCACAATCCGCGTTACTGATATTTGACGATGAGCCTTTTGGATCAGTTAGCTCTGTTAATACCATCTGAATTTACCTGTTTATTAATAAATGATGACCTGCGTGCTTGCTTTTTCTGTTATAATTTTAAAGATAAGCTATTCTCGTTGACCCGTGGAAGGATTTTAGAGGTAATCTAGGGCACGTCTTTTCGATCTTCACTATCAGGCTTTTCTAAGTAACATCATACAGCAATTCACACATATATCTATCTATCTATATATATATAATATACATATATAGATATAGTACTAGCAATAATGGTGATTATAACAATAATGACAATAAGAAACAAATGGAATCAAACTTCGAAAAAGGGAGAAGCAAAAACACAGGAGGTCTATTGAACGTGAATCGCCGCATTAGACTGGCGTACTAATTTAAAGAGTCTTTGTTGTATAGGCGGCTCTTTCCTCAGTTTGAAGTTTGAAAAATTCGTCTGCAATAGCATCTGGATGTTTCTTCAAGTAATTGTGAATCCCGGCCATCTCTAATTCAATCCATTCATTTTCACTCCCCTGATGTTTACTATTGATTTTATACATCACCGCATTACCTGGAGCGTGGTTGCTGCATCCGGTGTTTATATTAGTCTGATATTTTCCAGTTATGCCAGCAAAGCCTTCAGAATATCGGGATGAAAATGCATTGGCTTCATGGGTGAGCGGAGAAACGAGAAAAGGTTCGAGCTGTCCCGTCAGACACAAATGCTCGCCTATGAATTTCACAGTACGGTAATAGTGGTTGGCGTAGACGCGTACACGGCCGTTACATGCAGAAGGCAACAGAAGTATAGGCGGTGGTGCCAATGCCGACAATTTTTGTAGCTCTTTCTTAAGGTTTGCAATTCGCCGAGTCAGTAATGCGATTTCATTCGCGGTCGGTGTGATTATTTCAAGATTTGTACTGTTGCCATAATCATCATGGGCTTTCAGTTTACAGTTTCCTGGTACTGTGGTTGCAAGTGTTTTATTAGCCACGTAAAGCTCAGTATGCGGTGTTGATAAGATTGCAGTCTGCTTCTTATCAATACCACATTCCTTAGTAGATTCCGCGACTCCCATTGTAACGTTAAACTTTTCTCCTTTCCGACATTTCCCCATGCACTGATCAATTCGAGCAATCTGAATTCGATTGATTTTTAACTTTTTACGTAGCCGCTCTCGTTCAGCTTCACTGTCTGTCAGCAATCTTGTGTATTCCTGTTTTAGCGATTCAGATACCTTTGTCATCTGTATTTGAGAGGTGACATCCAAGAATAACAAACCGGACTGCGGAAATAGTTGATGTGGATTCACAAAAGGCTCTACGCTGGAGATTACTGCGGGGAGACCGTTGATGTAAATTGTGAAGGCTTTTTCTCTATATACTGAACATGAGTTCTCACTGAGTGATGCCATTTTGATTTCTTTTAGAGCCTGATCAGGTACATTTTGTAGTGAATCCCCGCCAACACTACCACTGTGAAGGCTACATCGGTTTGCTTCCTTGTGCTTCTCGCACGGACTACATGATGCATACGTTTTTTTTTTAATATTTTCAGAGTAGTTGACTGACTCTGTTGAGAGTGACTCATTCTCTTCAAGATCATGAAAATCGGGATCACTCATGATAGCAGCAAGTTTTGCTTCGGAAAAAAGTGTGAACACTTTGTATGGGTTCCGTTTTCAATCTGACCTTTTTGTGTAAGTTGCTTTCGAAGGCGTAACACCCTACCTAAACTCACAGAAAAGAAACACAGAGTGAGAGGGAAATCGGAAAGAGGTGTGAAGCGATAAGTTAATCAAATATATATGTGTTATTAACATAAGCAACAAATCAAGCAAATTCATCAAGGGCTACGAACGGGAACTCTGTGGTAAGTAGGAATATTTCGATAATTTCATTTTCTGTAGAGAACAAGAAAATACAGCAGATGCTGCCCAATGGATGGATTATGAATCAGTAGATAACGCTTTATGAAAGTATGAGTTCATTCTTTTCGTGCTGTTGGTGTGCCAAGAACAGATTGGATCACATTAACAGTAGTTCATGTCCATTCCCCTTTCTATAATTTGCATCAGCACCTGTATGAGTGCCTGGAAAATCCGGATTAGAATAGACATTACGTACAAAATAAGCCGATATAAAACGAACCATAAAAATAGCATAGACAAATGCTTATGATGCACACCTCGATAGAGTCTGGTACAGAAATATTAGCTGAGGAGATTGATGTTTCTCTGAGTCTCGTCGATCCTACCCTCAGTGTCATTGATGTTCAGCCTATAACTGCATCGTCGCAGTAATATTACTTTTGAAAATTGTGTTACTACCCTTTCTTTAACTATAACTCATTCATGTTCAATTCAAAAAACAGTGGCTTTCCACAAATTGATCCTTACTGCACACACGCGTTAGATGTGCCAAGTGAAAAGTCCGTCGCAGGCACGGGGTAACCTCCTGTTCTTTCTTACGGGTACTAAAAAGAAATGCTCACCATGGACGTCTCCATCCTAATTCTTTACCTCACCTGTGGTGAAACGGCGTAGCCATAAACACACACTCATGGCAGTCTGCGCTCCTCCCATGGCACTTTTGGAGTGCAGCTCGCATGTTTGATTTATTTATCATTACAGTAATATGTCAAGCTGACCGTAGACAGCGAAGGAATTTACCATGCTAACCACAAAGATAATCCTTCAGCAGTGCCCAACGATGAGGTTCTAGCTGAAATGCAAGATGATGTCGCCGAAGTTGATGTTGGCATATATGCGGAGTCACCACCGAGCACTATCGCCCCCAGATTTCTTTGAAATTCATGGTTCTTACTTGTGGCCATAGTACGGCGCGTGGGGATCTTTGACGAAAGATGCAGGTCAGTCCGTCTTTATGATGGAGAGAGTGGGTATGTCACCAAGTCAGGACTTCGAGATGCCTTTTTAAACCTCTAATTCCACTTTACTGTTTCCAACTTGCATCGGAATAGTTAGCTTCTCCAGTTTGCCGTCAATGGTTAGTTTCCAAGGCCCGTCATGCTTATTATTTTGAATACAAAGCATACCGTGAACTTCGTGATCGCAATAACCTGTCAACGGTGTTAATCTCAGTGTCGAGGAGTTGTGAATGCAGACTTAGTGCAAGAGTTATTCAAAATAGAGTAAAAGTGATGCTGGCACCACGAATCCACGACTTTCAGTAGAGCCTGCACCAAAGTGGGGCCCGTCATCATCAAGCTACCTCCTGCTGCAGGCATGCTGTCGATTGCCGTGGTGTCAGCTCCCGCGGTTTCTTCCTCCACGCGCTGGGTTACGTTGTAACTCCGAATGTTGTTAATATTGTCGAGATCGCTTGGAGTGGGGTGGCGGCCACAATGTGGAAAGAAAAAAGGCTGAGACGTACGATATTATCAAAAAAATCGACCCCGCTCCCCTTACCGCAGTGGAATCGCGTATATTGTTGAATTTTATATTGCTCTTGTCAAAGGTACTTCTACCTAACATTCCGTTCTCCGCGGTATGGTCGAAGGTGGTTGGAATGTTCAGCACATTCCTCAAGGCAGACCAGCGACTTATAGAAGACATCAGTGAGTGTAATTCACTGATGTACTCAAACAGCTTATGCGCAAAGGGTGCGTGTGAAGAGGGAGCGGTAGAGTTCGCATAGTTGTTTTGATGAGATTCACATAGGGAATGAACCACACAGCAATTATGGTTTCTCGGGGCCGATGGCGGTCGCTGCCCACTAACATTGCCGCTAGCCCAGAGGAGCTAGCTTTCCATGAATGAGGTATAATAGCTCAAGAGGGAGACGCGGCGCGGTTGAAGATCATCCAAGATGTTACCATGGTCCGTCGATTCGGAGGGAGATAAAAGGGTGGAGGTTCGATTTTTTTCATGTGTTGCCATTGCTTTGCCTTCATAAACAGGTGTGTGTGTGACCAACATTGATAATGGAAGAACCAAATCTGCAGGGAATGGCGACGGCGTCCTCAATAACGACCTTTTCTCTGCCACTCCTGGAGTTGATCGTGCGGTTGTCATAACGTCATTTGATTTTGTGAAACATGAAACTTCATCGAAAAAATTAAATGTTACTGGAGGATAAGAGAATTCATTCATCGTTTCAAAATGACCCCGGTGTTTCTCATTTTCATGCCACTGACGACACTCCACACGCTCGCTGTACAGACATAGGAAGGGATTACAGGATTCCTCCAAGTTACACCTGTGTGTTTCTTCTTTGTAATCACCACTGCTAGTACTGCAAGTGCTGCAGTTTTGTACATTATAAAAAGAGTAATCCGAGGCATGATACAATGGCCACTTGGGTGGTGGTGGCATAGAGTCAGTTTGCGTTCCATCATCCACACTGCCTCGCAGCAATATCAATCTTCGTGGTGACTGAATCCTCTGGAGGGGAGCATTCCTACCCTAACCATAGGTAATTTTACCGTTTCCATTTATGTCAGTAATTTCCTTTTTTTCTTCGTTACACACTACTGTCACTATGTCGTATTTGCATATTTCTTGAACGAAGGAGACACTAACACGAGTGGGATGGTTCGATGGATCGGAGATTTTTACAGCGCTGCCTACAGTCGTTGCGGTTTATGATTTCTATGTCACAACCATACGAAGGCTGATAGTTTCCTAACAATAGGTCTTGATACATATCACCTTCCTTGTAGTCACTTTTTCCTATTTTCCCACTACTAGAATACAGTTCCCAATCCACTGGGAAGGGGAGTTCATTTTGTCGTTTCTGCCCGGCCTCAAGATCATCCACCGCCGTAACTACCATTTTCACTAGAGTTGGGCTGACTAATGTAGGCGGCAAAACTAAAGACGCCTCTTCTATTTCATCATAAGAAATGCCAGTATTCATTATCAATGAATCGTAGTTTGAGACAGGTAACGAGGATTCCGTTGCCGTGGTGCTGTGACTTGTGTTCTCAAAACTACCCTCGCTCACGCGGAAAATCATTTGCTCATGATTAGGAGGACTTCCCAAGGCTCGTTTAGTGCAAATAAACGCATACAAGATTGAATCACAGTGATTACTACGGTGTTCAGTCCCCTGGGGCCTCCTCTATGACGGAGTTCGATTACAAGGGTAAAGACACCTGTAACTCAAGGAGTGGTGTACTCCACGCGGCTCTTTCCCTAAATCCACACGATTCAACCGGGAGGACTGCAAGTAAGATGGGGATCGACTTTTTATCTGGTAAAAGTCCCACCTATCTTTGTTGTAAGATCTAGGAAGGGAATCATTAGTCTTACTCGCCATATGCTCATCTCTACTTTCGTGCGGTGTGGTGGGAATGTCTATCATGTAGGATTGGTAGGCGGAACGGAGAAGCATACTGCCGCTTGTCCCGAGGTGATAGTATTGCTTATCACGTTCTTGAGACCGTTGATGAGGGCGTTGCAGCAACACACACGCCTCCAGTGGATATGGACAAGTGGAAAAAGTAGAGACCCGAGTAATGGAGGGTGAGCGCAACGGTGGCTCAGCGAGAGGCGGTAATTCATTAGCACAGATCGTGTGACTGTGATTCCCAACGATGTTGGCGTCATACCGTGGATAAGGAGATGGGGGTTGCGTGTTGGATTTTGACAGAGATGAGGATGCTTCCGATTTGGCTACCATCTCAGTAACTCAATAGAAAGTTGTGTCGTTCAGGATGTGGCTCGCACTGTCACTGGGATTTCAAGGGATCTTCATATTGATTGTCGATATGTTGGAAAGCGAGGTCTCGTTAGGAGAGTGGTGAAAGTTGGAGCTCTCGCGACTTCCATCGTTGCTGCATATGGGGTTATGGAAGAATCCTCTACCTAATTGTGTTCCTTCGTTTGTCAAGGTCCGATATGTGAGATTAGACACAACTGATGGTTCAGCAACAACGGTTTTGGTGCTTCCCAGCTATTTTGAAGAAATCTACTGCGACTGATGCATATGATAGTCGCCTAATACTCGTTGTTGCTGCAATCTGTAGTAATTAAAGATCAAGTGTGAGTAGTTGAGGTGATTGGTCGTGAAATGTGGCGTTGGCACTATCACTGTGGTGAGTATGATGCTCTCATTTCCAATAAATGACGTAGAGAAACCAGTGAGAGGGGTTTGCACTCCTTTAGGGATGGAACTGTCGAGCAGCGATAGGGGATACATCGACGGGGCTCCTGAGCGCTCATTTACCGCCCAAGCGTTAACCCGCTCCTTAGCTCCTGAGAAGTGTGTTTCATGATGGGTGAAATTTTAATGTCTGATACATCGTCGATGATAGGTAGTGATGGAGACGCCGATGGATGAGACTTGGGGACTGTTGCTATTATTCGAAAATAGCAACGCTTCGAGCATTTCTGACTCAATCATTTTGTATCCCGAGAAAACTTAGTGAAACAAGTACCAGCAGAAGAGTTACCAAATTTGTAGATTAGACAACCAGAATTACCTGGAGGAAAACGTAAGATAATAGTTGAGGAAAATGATATGTGGGTGTAAAAATTTCGAGAGAGAAATTGAATGAAAATAATTCTAGAAAAGTACTACAAATAATTCAAGCACTGAGCCTAATTATCTAACTACTGAATGTAACCTAAAATAACGAGCAGCAAAGCATTATCTACATCCACTAATCCCATTGCTACCTTTGTTTACGAGTGCGTACGAGAATATTTCTAAAACAGTTCTTGGATAAGCTACACTAAAAGTCGATAAATAAAGAACAATTCAATATGAAATTTAGGGTATTTTTATGATTAAGCAAGACCCATTTACCAGTCACTACTATTAAGGAATAATAAATCCAAAAAGTGACAAATTATCACCACAGCACTCGACACCATGGAAATTTTTTATACGTCCTGCAATACCTTTAAAAACATACAAATTTAAACAACAGAATAAAAAGTGTGGAATGAGCGGACAAAGCGGCAAGTGCAAATTCAGTGTAATGAGTTATTGCAAACTAGGAGAAAAACAAAAAACATTTTTTCGCTAAAACCTCCCTTCTTCACACACGACAATACGAGAGCAGAACGAGACAATTAATGTGCTCGACAACCTACCAATAAAACCAAACCCGAATATTGCTGACTAAATAGATGATTCTGAACAGTGTGTGGTAACCAACCGGCGAAAATCTGTACAGGCTTATCAACACAGCAACTTATATCGCCCATTTCCAACGTTATTTTTTTCCTTAATTCTACAGAGACGCCTCTTTATAGCCTTTAACACTTACACACCCGTGACCTTTGCAACCCGGAAGCGAGGAACCCCTTTACAAAGCGCCAATCCGACAGCAGTACCCACGACCGTTGTTTGCCAATCCAAACATAAAACGCAGATCTCCCCAACCCATACCGCATAGCGAATCCAGCTGTTAAAACTGTTTAGAATTGTTATAGGGGTAACACCGTAGTGAAGGTACTCCATTACGAACAAAGCAGATACTACGTCCCAAGGCCCGAACTGCTTCTCCGGAGCCGGTTTATGTGGACCATAGTACAGACGATTGCCGAGCCACACAATGAGTCCGGATATAGCTGCGGTGGCGCTGACGTAGATTAACAATCCCCTCGATCCGACGGTCGGCAGCATGGCATGGCACATGGTGTGCAACAGGATCATGGCGTATGTCATAGCCAGAAAATTTTGGCAGAGAAACGAGTGGAGCAGCCAGGCTGACGGGTGAAACGTGTTGTCCAGGCCCCATCGATCCATCCACCACTTTTCCTCAGTGTTGCTGCCAGTACTGCAGAGGCAGAAGACAGTGAATATAACAAAGTTAATGGCATTGGCGCTATTATAGATGTCAGGAAATTTCATATAATCTTCCTTGAGGCCTCGAATGTGATCTCGGAAGGTGCGGGCTCTAGCCCGCTGCCCGCCTCTCGCCTTCTTGCCATCACTCTTCCTGCCATCTTCAGTTTCTTCATGCTCGCGCTCACTTCCCTCAGGATGACTACTTCCTTGCTCGGCGTCGGTTGCTTTACCTCGAACATGCATGGCTCGAAATGAAGTGTGGTATGCCACACTTGCTATAGCGACTGTATAACGAGTAAGGCAACACCCACTGGAAAAGCGGCGCCCTTGTGATGGATGTGTCGCAAAGGCGAATGGCAGTTGGGGTATATCACTCCCTATCATACGGTTTGTGCTTGTAATAGCATTGCCGCTATTCGAGACGAGTGATGTCGTCGTGAAGAAGCGCTTTGCACAACCACACCCTAGCACGGGCTCGACTATACTGTTGCATTGTGTGAACGTAGCCTCACAGTGTTTTTTCGTTCCCATAGAGGTAAATGTGCGGCAGTTACCCATGTATGAGGACACAACGAAATTTTTAATGGCCCCATGATAGGATAAAGGATTTACAATACGTTTGCAAAGTACCGAGCGCGTTGAGAAAGGCATGCAACGAATGCGGATCATTTATATGATAGAACAGCTTTAGTAATTATTATTACTTTAAAGATGTTTTTCAGTTCTTATAGGCTTAGTAGATATAATACAAATGAAAACAAAAAGGTAAATAAAACAGAAATGAGGCTAAGTTATCAATATAGCATGAGAATCGAATATACCTTAAGGTTAGAAAATGTAAAAATACGGCATGACCTCTCTAAAAAATCCGGAAATTTATAATATGTCCCTCTTTTATCTTCCGGAATCTTCTTGATTTTAGCTTTGTGAACACAAACATAAAAAAATATCAACTGCCAATCGATGCAGCTACAATATTGATTTGTCAAGCGCTTAGACATTTTTCACCCTCATTTTGTAACAGAGAAAGTGCTAGTGGAGGAAATTCTATACTCCAATCAGATCAACTACAGTAGGAATACAAAACACGACAAATGTATTGCAAAAGTAGGCTAATACAACATTATGAGTGATTGGCATTGATTTCATCACTACACAACATAGCAGGATGTTTTTTACTTTTAAATGTTCCGGACGCGTTTCATGTGTACTCTCCAAGAGATTTACCCATTTCGAGCAGAAATATGGGGTGTTCAGAGGAGACCCCCTTTTCCTTGAAAAGGACATTTGCTATATTACCTAGGGTTTTCTAATTAGCCTCTTCTATTTAACGCTACTAGAAACATATTTTGAGAGCTTCTGCTGCTTGATTTCGAACATCCACAGAAGTATCTTCCAGTAGTTCCCTCAAGATCGCCAACACAACACCATTCTTCTCTTCATCTGTGAATCTTCGGAGTGCTGATGACGCGACTGCATCATACAAACCCATAGCGGTATAACTTTGGACCCCTTCACTTTTCTTTATATTCGTGGAAGAAGATGTTATGACGGAACCAACGCCACCGTTTTGCATGCTTTTTTGACTAGTTTTGAGACTACCTTGGTACGGACAATTTTCACTGGCATTGCTGTGGATGGGTCGGCCCGAGCCGTTGTGAAGGATTTCGAGAATCACTCTGGCCACCATTGAACGCACGTTCGGGACCAAATCCCGCGCCAATTTAGTCAGTAAAGGTAGTAAAATTGTCTCTACATCGAGACCTAGATGTACAGCAACGCGTAGTAAAGCAATACGGTTCAAGTAAGTACCCCAAGCTGCCGGGTAGCTGGTAATCAGGGGCCACAACACCCTGTTCACGAACCTATCCCCCTCATTCGGAAGCGCCTGCTCTTTTCTGTAGCTAGTTAACCTCGGGGCCTTCTTCCGTAGTCCAATGGTGCCACACAACGCCTCAGACTTCGCATATGTGCATCGCTGGCGTGCCTGGACGGAAGCCAGCTTAGCGCATAGATTTGATACGTGTCCAAGTGCAGCATCGCGCACAACCTTAGCCTTGTCAAAGAGAGTTTCGACAAGCATAGGCAGAAGCTTCGTGTATATAAGAAGAGGAAGGCTGTATTGATCATGGTCCTCAACACAACTGTTATGGTTACTTTGTCGCTTCTGCGATTCTCTTGCACTCTTGAGGAGTCGATTACACACCTGGAGGTTCTGGGGATACGTCGGTGCAATAAATTTTAAACATATTACACTTAGTAAGGCTGAGTGTTTCTCGCGAAAGCGCCATACTTCATTCCTAGAGAGGCTCTCCAGACACAAAAGCAGGGCTCTGCACTGGGATTGAGAGGTGGTGCTGTCACCTCCCGCAATCTCACCGATCCCACGGCGTCGTCCTATGAGGACAGCGATGGAGTCCGCTAGCTCTGAGACCGCCACTAGGCGGACCAATGGGCTTGAGTCGTCTACAAGACGCACTAGTGCGTCTGCCGCTATCAACGACTTCACCCCATTGCCGAGATGCGGGGTCCTGCTTTCTAATATTTTGCACCATAAAGACATACCGTTTTGTTTAGGACATATCACAGACTCGACCAACCTCCATAACGTGCGAGAAAGCGAGGTCAGAGCTGTCGGGACGGCGGCTCGTACGTGTGGGTCTGCGTCCTGCAGGCTAAACTGACATAAAGGTAAAACCGCCTCAAGAAGCGACAAAAGCACCTCTGAGGGATGTATATTTTCCGATCTTCGAGCAACTACAGCTTCGACCTGCTTGCTTGACTTGATACCAAACCCATTCATTTGGCCAGGGAAAAGACCAACAGCCCCCTGCGACATGATGCTAAAAGTGTCTGCAGCACATTGCAACGCCACTGCACGCACTTCAGCTTCTTCATTGTCTACCCAACCGCCAAGTGGATGGATTGAACCTCCCTCCGTTGACCAGAGCTCTGTTAGAAGCTGGCACAATTGACAATAAAAGAACGATACGCTCGCCACAGGAAACGAAATGTTCGTTGTAATTATGGTGTCCGGAATGGTGGATAAGGTATGCTTGAGGCGTAGCAACGCATAAACAAAGACCGCAGTAAGTCCAGGCAGTTTCTTTGCCACCTGCCACCGAGACTTCCAGGAAGGATAGAAAGCAACGTACTTGATGCACACATAGTGTACAATAAACAAGCAGCTCAGCAAATATCTCAATTGGATGTCGATTCTGCTGTCCTCTCGAGCATCACCGTGTTGGCATGGAGACATGAAAGTCATCTTGTGATATCGTTCCCGAAGAAGCATAGGTAGCGCAATGGCAACTTCAACAAAACATCGATGAGCTGTTTCTAGTGCTGTTTTCACTATGTCAAAATCTAGTGAAGCAATTGTTTCCCCCATAGAATGATACAAGCTACTATTTTTTGCATCAGAATTAGGATTCGTATCCGAGGGATCCCTCTCAGACTGAACGGCAAGGCTGATTGCGTTCGTACAGTTCTTGGTGTTCGCCATTTCAGCGAACAAGAGCAGCAGCTCTGGTACCTTGGAGGCAGGTACCAGAAGCTGTATGAATATTGAAACGAAGATCCCTATTGTGATCGGAGACCGCGTACCAGCACTGCTAGTGCTATTCCCTGCACTTATTGAGGTGCTTAAAGTGGTACCGAATATGGTACTCAAATCAAGTAGGAAGGGTAGCGAGCGCAATATAGTAAGATGTATGATACGGTGAAGTCGAGGTGAGAACAAAGAAATGATATTCCCCTTTTTTCTGAATCGAGCGTTACGACAACACCTGCCACTGTCGTCATCTAACGCACCAGGGGGTTCGACAAGGAGGCGCGGGATACTGTCCGGGCTACTCGAGCCGAGGCTTACATCCCAGGCAGACAACGAGGCCATTTGGAGCTCGTGTGGACCAGGGCCAAACCACAACAGCGCTTCCGAACACCGCCCACTGATACTACTCAAAGGTGTAACACCCTGCATGACAGTAAGCAGACGGTGCTTTTTCAGAATAGACAGCAACGCACACCGCACCTCAATTATCGCTTCGTAAACTAGAGAGACCGTTTCTGAAGCGTTGTTCGGAGCCCCCCTTGATGAGGTGGCCGCGGCGAGTATCATGAGCACATTGCGGCGAGTCATTTTGGCGATGAAATATCGCAGTTCAGCTGCTGTTCGAAGAGGCCTTTTGGGTAAGGCGATGCTGACAAGGCGTCCACAGCTCAATATTGTGCTATTGCTTGGTTCTTCAGCAAGAGCGCTCTGAACTACGTGAAGTAGCCCACTGATCATTTCCACCGCGACAGCCACAGCTCCAGGATAGGGCGAGTCTAAAAGATACTGTAGCAGCTTCTGGAAGTGTTCCCACCGCTGCCGCAGAGCCTTGCGTTGAGCGTAGTTGCACTCAAGATAATCAGTTGCGCTCAGTTGATACCGTAGAGAATGAAGCGGGCTCTCAGCGGAAGAATTGTTTACCTTGTTAATTTTCGTATTAGGAGTTCTTCCATCTTTGTTGGTCCGAAGTTCACTCAAAAGAGGGGATGGGTCTTGAGAAGATCCTTGTTGCTTTTGTGCCGATATGAGCGCAGAGAACCAACTTTCTATTTCTCCAACAAGCAAGCGGGCCCGAAGATTTAGGGAAAAGGGATCGGCGCCCGAGTCTGCACGAAGCGCTGCTGCGTAAGAAGCTCCATACAACTCCAGCGGAGCATCATAGAGGAGACTAGTGTGCACTGGAGCTGCATAAGCACGTTGCTGCCGACGGGCAGCTGCACTTCTTAAGTGTCTAAATCCGTCATCACTGTTCAGGCACCACGCATCGTTGCATACCCGAACGCTATGGGACAGACATATGAACTCGTCGTCGTTCATGAAGTTTAATTTCTCTTGGAGCAGAAGTGGATCCGTTTCGCTTTCTTCTTCGTCATCTTTTCCTACCGTTTCCCTGTCGTGGTCCTTCTGTGCCCCTCCCCTAGCTTTGGCTTCACCTTCACCCCAATGGCCGTCCCCCCAGCCTTCGCCGTTTGGCTCGCCCACGTCGTCCGCACCTTCCGTTTCGGTGCCGTTGCCAAGCCACCATTGCGGTGGGATGTACCTGCGGTCCCACCCCTCCAGCGTGACCTCCTGCTCTAGGCTAACCCCAAAGCACAGATGCGGGAGGATCACCTGCGCCATAAACCGCCTGATCAGCCCCTCGCGGCTCGCGCTGAGCCTCTCGATGACGGGGCGAACGGAGTCCAAAGTGAGGCACGACCCTGTGGTGGGGTCGGAATCCTCGACAGGGGGCTGCTCCGCGGCGGGCGTGCTTGGTAACCACTTGTCTTCGCTGCCGGATCTTGCCTGCACGGTACCGCATGATCGCGGCAGCAGTAGCCCCATAAGCGCCATACCAACCGCAAAGCTCAGCGTGACGTCTTCTTCCTCTGCACAACGGAGAAGGTAGGGTACGATCTCCGTGGAGGTCCACCGTGCTCCGAACTTCCGACACAGAAGGGGAATGAGCAGTACCGCATGATAGCGGGCTTCTCGCCGCGAATACGATTCGACATCATGATCCTCAGTTGGACTCACAGACGGAGAATGAGCCTCGTTGGAGATGTCTTCGGCTGAAAAAGTGAGCTTTTGAATGACATCAGAGTTGTAGCTGCCATCACATACAACCAGTGGCCCATGCATAAGATCCTCTATTATTGCCAGCACCACAGCTTTGCTTTTCATTACGTAATTTATTTGTACTAATGTGATGGTGATAGCGCCACCCAGTGTGGTCCGTTTACTTTTGTGTTTTTGTATACACTTCTGTGTTTCTTCCACGGTAAGGAGGGCCTGGAGTGATGGATAAAACCCGTGTAGTTGACGTAGAGTCAGCTAAAATAGGACTCCACACATACACAGAGGACAAGGCAGAAAAAATGACGGCCAATGCAGTACGCCGAAGAGCCTTCAAGACACGCGTCTATTTACGCACTGCGGTGCGCCAAAATATTAGAAAAAGCCTTCAAAAGAAAGGAGTCATGAGTGTAGTGATATCCAGATCTCAGGTTGCATTCTCGATGTACTAAACAGGTTATCAAGATGCATTACACTTTATCTTTGAGTCAGCGATGTGGAGGTGGGGTGACGGATTCGAAAATAGAATTAATATCTAAATCCGTCTTCACACTCTTAAACGAATAATTAATATTATTTTATCGCACGTGTTTAGATTAAGTACCGAATCCTTAACAATATATACCCTCTTGCCGTTTAAAGCGAATCACTTCCACTCATCTTTTTGCCTTACTCGAGTTTTGCATACTGAAGAACTAGATGTCTTCCATATAAGTGCGTAGAGCCCAACACGAATGCACGCGCCGCCTCAGCTTCGGACAGAAATTCAACAAAGGCGAACCCACGATGATTGTTCTCACGGTGCGACGTAAAGTTGTTATTCTTTCGAGGCACGCGCACACTGCGAACTTCGGAAAATGCCGAAAAGAGATCGCGTACATCCTGTTCGGTTGCTTCAAAAGGCAGATTCTTCACGACGATCTTGCACGGGTCGCAGCCGGGCGGGACCTTGGGACCACCGCTGCCACTGCTAGACTGTTCCATTTTGCGAGATGCGACGACTGATTTTACCTTGGAAAGATCGTGCTCTTCATCCTTTTCTGCATATTCACCAGATCCCATTTCATTAGCACCAGTGTTTCGATAGTATTTGATATTGTCAGCCTGTCCTTTTCCAAGAGCAAGGGATGATTGTTTGCTCGCGACACAAGAGAGGGTACGCCCATCGAAGGTGCTACCATTCAGCTTAGTCAAACAATACGTGAAGGTTCTTGCATCTGGAACTGTCAGGAAAGCACGACCGAGCTCCCGCTGGTGTACGAGGCGCTGGATGAGTTCTGTGGCGCGTCTGGCCAGGCGTGGGCAGCTGTCCACAAGGAAGTCGCGGAGGTCATCTTCCGTGGCACTGAATGGAATGTTTGTGATAAAGAGGGTGTACACTGTTGTCTTCGAGGATAGTGTCTGGGCATCGGAGGCGGTAGCACCCGCGTTGGCTCCTTCACCATCTTCCCCGAGCGTTTCGTGATGCTTGGTCTCACAATTTGGATCAATCCCCATCTCATCCGCATCCTCTACGATACTACCAATCTGTGCCCATTCCAAAAACAACGGTGTGTTCCTAAATGGCTTGAAAGCCAATCTGGAAAAGGCAATGCGGGCGTCTTGTGGGTGGAGGTACCGGAACAGGGCAAAGGCTCCCGAAGATGGAAAGACGGTTGCCTCCAACGCACCAAACTTAAGAAAAAGCTGCGTCAGATCCACGACATCCTGTGGTTGCTTAAGACTCAAGTTTTTCACCAGAATGGTTGTGTTACTACGCGGCTTTAGAAGGTTGTGCTGAGATGACTCAAGGAGATCAAAGTTGACGCCTTCATCACTGAATACCTGGCGGACCTCATTCGTGAGATGAGCCTCAGCAATCGCAGCCCGCACCGCTGCCCCTTTACTTGTTACCGCAACGATGTCCTCGGAGCGAAGACCAATACGTTGCGCTACGGCATCCACTGCTGTGTGCGCATTCATATACGTCGCGTTCCATGAGACCGACGCGTCGGTAGAATACACGCCCCTTGTATGACGTTCCATTTCCTTGCTAACCTTGAAGGAGGAGCTTCCTAGATGATTACCCGCGCTATCGTCGCGCGTGATTGGAGCACCGGCGGCACGCTGAGCCTCGCGCGCGATGACGCGCTTGCTGTGTGGATCCTCCTCAGCGGCATTGACCCGCAACAACCTGCCCATAAAAATGACCCCATTACACAAACTCAAAGCCCGTAGTGCATCTTCTTCCTTACAGAATCGCACAAAGGCGGAGCCTTTGCTTTGCCTCGTATCCTTCGTGAGTGGTATATGAACCGCCTCCACTGGACCCACAAGGGAAGACGTGAATTGTTTTATATTTTCTTCGGTCGCAGAGTATGGTATGTTAGTGATGCGGACACGGCGAGATTTCCGTGCAATCTTGGCTTCTTTATCGCTTGGATTCTCTTCATCTCTATCAGCATTTTCGATGCACGCACTGTGCAACCTGTTTTCGTCCACGGCATTTTCTGTCATTTTGTGTGAATTAGAGGAGGCTGAGGGAAGATCAGATTCAACTGGTGCGGTTATATTGTTAAGAAAGTCTGTGTCCTCCACATCACCCAGCGCTTGCTGCCTTTCTAGTGCTTTCCGTTCTTCTTCGCTTACTTCTACAGGATAAATATCCGCCATGCCAGAGCCGCCGACTGTAGCCGTATTATCAAGAAGTTTTTCTGTTGTAGTCCAAGTATTCCCGCTGCTAGGAACGAGTACTTCTGCCGCCCACGACGGACCTTCTGTAGCTTTTATGCGTTCATCAACAAACTCAGTTCTACGAACATCCTTCTTTTCTTTTGATACACTCACATCATGACACATACCTTCCTCTACCTTAGTTTTTTTTGCATTTATTGATGATGTAATTTTAGCGTCGTCCGAAGTGAATTTGCCGTCTGCAGCCTCATCTCGTCGGCGCTTCGTGGCAGATGCAGTCGTAAGGCCCTCATGCTTCGGAGTGTGGCCTTGTTCTAGGGATCCTAAGTTCTTTTTTGCATTAGTTGTCAATCCGGGATCGTTTAAACCTTTTGCTAGTTCAACGTGGATACGGCTACTTCGAAAATATGAGTTGTGAAAGTACTTAGCAATGAAGCGCCCTGCCGCAGAAGTCTTAAATCCCACAAAAGCCATCCGTATTTTTCCAAGTGGAGGCTGCTCCTTGCCAATTAATTTGTTCTTCTCCCCTGCCATGCGCGAAGGGGGATTAAATCGCTTTATAAGAACGTCAGTAATTTCGACAGATGGGGATCCCGTAGGAAGGTCTTTGGCTATGAAATCCCTTAATTGTTGTTCCGTACAGTCATTTGGTAAGTTCAAAATACGAACTCTAGACATCCTTTGTAGGTGAAATTTTTACCCCTTTTCTTCCAAAAGCAAAAAGCAATAACAGAAAAACGACATCATTCATGTAGTAATTCACACCCCATAGGTAGACCCTTGAATAACAGTCAGATAAAAAAACAATAATCTTAACTACCAGCATAAATACACGCATTTATAATATTTTTCCAAACAATTCAAATAGAATGCCATCAACAACAAAAAGCTATCATTTGGTTCGCAATGGTTTATTACATTTTAAAGCCTGCTAGCACATCGTAATTCTGAGTAAATAATAATAATTATTACAAAACACCTACACCGAAAGAAGGGTACCAATACCATTGTCGCATCAATCTAACCCACTCCCCTTATCTTTTATTGCCTAGCCTTTAGCAACTTCTCCCAAGGCGCTGATGGCGTCCCAGTAGCAGCTTCGACATGAGCTCCCTGAAAGGTAATGTTGCTTTATCGAATTTGACTTGCATTTATCTTGTCAACAAAAAGGGTCATCATTGAGCTCAAACCACAATGGCTTGCGCCCCTATCCTAGGTTTATGAACCTTCTCAAAACAGAAGGTCCGTCTTATAAATTGAACGTAAAATATTCCTTGAAAGCGATCACCGGGCTGATCATCCAAACGCGTGAACACCTGCGTAGGGAAACCTAAGGCATTCCATTTGTGCTCACCAAATTTGCCATGTAAGACAGAACGGGTCTATAAGATTATAAATAATGGCCTGAAACTGTACCGCGTCGGGTGGTTCGAGAGGATCTCGGGAATTTGCCGGAAGCCCAGCTCGCTGAAGCGGTTTCAATCCTAAAGCCGCACATCGAACGTGCTGACCCATACACGGGGCTGAGATTCTTAAAGGACGGCATGCTTTTCGGTCCAAAATTAATCGGGAACCGATTTAGCTCAATATCAAGGCTCCTTTGGATCTGCTGCAACCATGTCCTGCATGTTTCCGGGCACCCGCCCCGTTTAGTTTCATCTCGCGCCATGGTAACCGGAAAGAAACCATACGCGCCTACTGGCAAAAACGGAAACATTTCACGTTCATACGCAAGCCGTTTTACATGAGGCAAGCTGCGTAGCTCGTTCTCCACCAAGCGGGCAAACACCTCCCGATCTATCAACTGTGGGGCGTGGGCAAAGGCGGAAGGTGGTTCGATCCCATCAAAGTACTTCATTATGACGTGAAAATAGTATCAGAAGGGGACTCCACACTTACGTAATCGGATGATTACGTTTGGATCAGGCAGGCTGAATCCTAACGATGTATTCCACCCAGGCTGTCCAAGCATTTTGAGAAGCGCCTCTGGTGAGGTATAACTATTACTCACCTTCATGACGTTGGACGCATTTTGGGTGTTGTTCGCAGGTTTGAGACTAGTTTACCATTCTATCGAATGATTACTCAGGTTATTTTAACAGAGTCCCTGATATATCTGAACCGTTAGTTTGTGTTTACGATTCCAATCCTTTTTGTAAAGACCTCTGAAAGACAGATAGACATTTTCGCTATAAATCTGAGGCTCTAGGTGGGCCAAGCGATGACGGTTACGAAACCACACTGTCCCTCGCTGCCGCTGATTGGGGCCGCAACCCCCGAACGCTCCCCGGAAAAAGTGCTGTAGGGTGCACAGCTGCTGCCAAGGCAGGAAGAGAGGACAGAATAGATCGAAGAATGAAAGTTAGCAGCTAAGCATGTAATCGTTTTTCAGGTAAAGAAAGAACCGCGAGAGGCTAGGGATTCGATATCAACCAGATTCAATGGCATTGGAGTTCAAGGTCGGAAGGATGCCCGGCTCTTTCCTGGGGTCAGGAAACAGTTCCGCGTGTGTGATAATCCGAAGCATGGTGAACGCCTCAACGTTCAGCCACACCGACACCTGGTCGCGGTCGGAAAGCACCAAATACACGCGACGAATCAGAGGGCTACGCTGGAGTCTATCCTCACCACCACGCATCTGGACTCGGTATCCCACTGCTTCCAGAGTCTCCCGGTCCTCCTCCTGCTGATCCTTAAAGAGGTTGCCATACTGCTGCAAGGAGCTGCTGTGCAAGGCGTATTCCAACAATGCCCTCAAGGAGTACCGAAGCTCCTGCGAATTGTTATACCGCCCAGCTGTATAAGGGACCTTGCACATGTCCAAATACCGCTTAAAGCATGGAGCATCGAGATTCACATATATGTAGACCACATCCAGCTGCATGGGTGTCGCGACACTACCATTTTCAATGGCCCAAAAGGTCGCACCGTGATCTTGGAAAAAGTCGAAAAAGGGATTACGCCCATGCATCTCGCCGCGGTTTGAGTTTTCCGCCACCGGGGAGGTCAGAAAAGCCGCCGCTATGCGTTGAAACGAGTCGAACCAGTCCTCTTCACTGAACTCCAGCACGCTGTGCTTTAATGAGGCGTTGGATGGAATGGAATGCATCCTCTTAACCACCACCCGCTTATCTTCCCCGTAGACGCACTGACAGACGTAACATTTAGAAAAGAACATGCCAACGTTGCTATTCACTGCGGGCACCTGAAACACGTATTTGTACATCGCATGCTTAGACTAGCACTGTGATGAGAGATTCCTCATGAAAGCCAAATCAGCACTTTCGAGACCGATAAAGTAGATGAATATACGAGACATAGGTAGTGACTATACCAGTGAGGGGTGCTAGCAATAATATATGCCAACAGGCACATCTTTTTGCACATGAGTCGCTTCTGAAGGATTATCATTTGAACTAATAAATGCACATAAGTCGCCTGGAGCATGCTTCCGTACTTTCATGGCTGCGATTTATCAGTATCAATGTGGTAAAGTCGATAGAATGTTCAAATGGAGTGTATTGAATTAGGTGCTCCAAAATTTAAATCGATCACAAAAGGAAGTTGACAATGCATACCGAAGAGTAGCGACCATGTATCTTTTGCCGAGTTCAGGGGATTGTTGTGGTTACCACGCACTAAACTGCACTTCACAGCAAAGCGAGCATGCAAAAGAAAAAAACGTGTACAACTGCAAGAGACTACTCTTCTGCACGCACACTGTAGTTAATACCGGCAGTGCGGGAAACGCGAACCCCACCCCCGCCTTCTCTCTCTCTCTCTCGGCGCGTGCGATGCCGATGCCAGCCCTCCTGTGCATGCCCCCTTCCCCCCTTCCTCGCTCCCCCAGCTCCCCAAACACGGTAAGTGCTGATAGTCGCGTTTTCCTGCCGCACAGGTGATGAGGTAGGGGGCCAGCAGACCCGGTCTGAGTGAGCCTTGCTGTCATTATATCGCTTTAAATCCTTCCCGTCCCTCGCAAGACGTCTTGTATCCCTCAAACGTGTGGAGGGCCTGGCAGGAAAATTGCCAGCGGGATCCATGACTCGTTCTACCCACGACTGCCGGAATTCGTTCCTATTAAATGCGGGAGAGCCACATCCAACATCACCATTGACGACGATATTTACCTGCAGTTGCTGCTGATTAGTGTTTTCGAGCCTTTTCATTATGGACCCCTTCACCACCTCATGGCTATCATCTTGTATAGTTTGCGTCTGTGTGTGTATCGGAATCGAAAAGAGGGAGACCAAAGGCTAACGGGAGCATTTTCAGCGGAAAGCAACCGAGCGAGTCAAGACAATAGAGAGGGCACAGACATACCGTGCGAGTGTGCACAAGGGGTATAAAAAAAAAATCACCTGCAAAAAATTACATTTCCTTTGAAGG